GCAAACTGATAAATAATGGTCCATCTTTCGAAAGCGATCGAGTTCAATTATTGTTTTTAAGTGATATTTTTAACCTGTGTGTTTTCCTAACATCATGGATGATCTAATATTGATATTCCAAAACACGCGATCATATATAAGTGTTCTGTAACATATTTAGAATAGTTACAAAACGATAGCTTTAGACTCTTAAATACATTCATGCTGACACTAATCCATAATCTAGGGTTAGTAAGCAAAAGTCAGATAGGTTTCTATAACATAGCATATATATATTCTTATACTTATCTTTTTTTAGCTCTTTCATGTGTTGGTACTGGCAAGGGAAAATCTTAACTGTTTTTCAACACCAGAATTTTTATCTTTTTTTAGCTATTTTATGTGTTTATTTATACTTATAAGGGAAAGTCTTAACTGTTTTTCGACATCGGACTTCTGGATACCATACGCTCCTAGGGTTAGTAAAGAAACGTCACTATGTTTGCTAAATCTTAGGATTTTCACACATAATGTACCTGTTCAAGATGCAAGGGCTATTGTAGGAAAATATTGTTTAGGTGTAACTGATTATCTTTAAATGCGTATTCATGTGTGTTTCATATCTCGGGAGGAAAATATTGTTTTGGTATAACCGACTATCCTTACATGCACATTTATGTTTAAGTTGTTTCACATCTGGAAAGGGGACATTGTTATGTCATGAGTAAATATTCTTGCATACATGTTCATTCATATCTGGGTTGTGAAGGGAACTTTTGTCACGACATGAGCGGGTATATTCATACATATCCATGTTTAACTTACACATCTAGTACGTTCATACAGTTCATTATAAGAAATAAGAACTAAGTACATAATATAACAAATTGCCTTGTCTACACACCTTGAACTTTGCGACTATTTTGGGAATTTTCGAACTTTCTTCTGCAATGAGAGTAGAACGGTCAATCATGAAATATTTTTTGATGTTTTGTGCCGCCGGCGATCGCTTGTGAACAGTACTAACGACTTTCCAAAATTGACATTATTTGTTTTCCTCTTTAGGTCGCCATGACAACGTTAAGGACACTACGTGCACATACCGAAATCTATATTAGTTTACTCAGAAGCTTTTGTAACATTTGAAATGGGAAATATTGATTTTTTTATCCAAGTGTTCGAAATGATAAAATGCATATTAACCACTCAAAATATTAAAAACAACCAAGCAATTTTCATGCATTATATCATATTATCGCTGATACAAAGTTGATGATCTAACACTAAAAGTGGCACTTAACTTCGTTAATGATATATCGCAGTGTAATCGGAAGATTTGCATCATTCTTTGATCGCTCATTAAATGACGCTGCCGTCACTTTATGGCAAAACCTTACGGCCATACCTGTTAATAGGTCTAACACTTTTGATAAAAAGCGTGCAAAATCCAGATTTTTTATTCTCACATTCCTTTCAATTTTTCCTTTTCGGATTTCAAATGAGAGATGTGAAAAAATTATATATCAAATCTATGTTTTGTTCCCTATAATTCACGCCTAACAGGGAAGACATAGATCCGGAATATAAATTATCGAATTTACATGAAAATATGCAACTTGGAATTTTATACGCCATCTTTTTTTTTTTGATGATTTTTTCAAGAACTTTATCTAAATTTAATCCATATTTTTGTGAATTTATCAGAAAAACACTTCCTCCGAAGGTTGTGTTGAGCTTCTAATATGATATGATCACATTATTCCGTTGAGATTTTAATTAAATTTATCATTTAACTATTCTAGAAATATTTATTTGTTGATTTTATTTGCAATTTTTGAGCAAATAATCACAAGAGCTGTCTTTGCAAAGTCGTCTCTAATTTTAAACTGATAGATAAGAGAGAATGCAAATATTCAACACTACCCACTGGCAACCAATAGATTACTCTAGTCGAATTTTGAGATTTGACCAACACTCTTATAGAGTTTCCATAGCCTCAGAGTGCAAAGCGCGTTTATGAAGCAACAGGACGCTAACCGCGAACCCCCAGACACGTTAAATTAGTGCCTCAGAGTGCAAAGCTCGTTTATGAGGCAACGGGACGCTAACCGCGAACCCTCAGACACGCTAAATTAGTGCCTCAAAGTGCAAAGCTCGTTTATGAGGCAACGGGACGCTAACAGTGAATCCTCAGACACGCTAAATTAGTGCCTCAGAGTTCAAAGCTCGTTTCTGTATTATGGGCATGAAACTGGATTATACCAAGGCAATAAGGACAGAAAATTTAATAAATTTTGGAGCTTCTAAATGTTTCAATTCAATTAGTGTTTTACTCATTGGATCTCTTGTATTTTTAGAAAAACTTACATCATTCAGTTAAATACTCAGAGCTATAAAAAATAAATTCACTTTCGTCTGTAAACCTAAAACTAGAACAACGTTTTCTTTGATAGATTGTTTAGGTATATGTGTCATATCTTTGTGCAAGACTGTGCTGTTATAGCACTTAATCTCAAGTTATTTTGGGATCGTTGACAAATTTACCCTGAATAAAAATTACCGATACGAGATCTCTCTCTGGTTCTAACATGACAGTAAGATTCTCTTTAAAAAGATAAGTTATCTTGTATTAATTTTTTTTTATTCCGGAAGAACTACTAAAGTGTAAGACATTTTACTGATACATTTCCAAACAGGTTTTACTGCATCTTATAAGTTAACTTATATGTAAAAACATACATTTCCAAACAGGTTTTACTGCATCTTATAAGTTAATTTATGTGTAAAAACATACATTTCCAAACAGGTTTTACTGCATCTTATAAGTTAATTTATGTGTATATACATAATACGATGTATGTAAAGGTAGAAAGACAGATTGTAACGACTTTGTTTAGCTTATTAAAAACAGTTTTTTTCAGCCCTAATATAGTCATTCTGCACATGATCAGTCACGTAAGACCAGACAAAACTAATGTACAATCCTAACTGGATTAGCTTTAATACAGTTTCGCTCTTGAAATATGTTGGATAAACTATTCAAAAGCATTGCTGTAGTCTGTTAGAAACAAACCTCACTAAACCATTCCCTTCCGCTGAGCGAAATAGCGCAAGGACAATACATCATTTATAAGAGATACTGACAAACTCGTGTTAGATCTAACGTTCGAATTTACTATGTATCGATACATTGTGCTGATTGTTCTGTTTTTGATAGCTGGGGGAAAATGATAGATAATTTCTAGAAGGTCCGTGTTGGCAGGGGAAGTCAAAAGGGGTTGATTATTAAGTTACCAAGCTTAATGTTGCACAGCTCGGAACGTTGGTCGTGACCTTTCTGCCGATTTAATTACCTGACTTTACTAAAATATAAAAATAATTACTCGCTCAAAGTCCTCCATTAATTAAAATCGAAATGGTGTGCATTAACTAATCTGACAGAGGGGTAGGTTGTAAGGATACTCATGTTATAAGAGTAATCTAACTACGGGAAACTCATCTGGTGGGTCCGCCAATATGTGTAGACCTACTTATGTTGTTTATTAATAATTTTTTGCTCTTTTTTCCTTTACCATAAAATAGCGGGAGTACTATGTTTATTTTATCTTAAAATCGTTTGTTAATACTAGAAATAAACGACCTTCACATTTGAAGCTTTGTACTGTCAGTTTCGGTTTGTGTTTTAGTGAACGTTCTCGAAGAAGCTGTAAAGCAAAACGTTGAATGTCTGATTAAATAAAAACAACATTTTGGTATTATAAGGTCATTTATTTCTAGTTTTAATATGTCTTCTATATACCAATATGCACTACAGAAAATAAAATTGGTTGTTCTTTAAGCAATGTTAAGCCCCCCAGTGGCACAGCGATATGTCTGCGGACTTACAACGCTAGAATCCGGGTTTCGATACCCGTGGTGGGCAGAGCACAGGTAGCTCATTGTGTAGCTTTATGCTTAATTACAAACAAACAAGCAATGTTAAATAGATATAGTCTGACAAACGTGCAACTTGGAGGTTCAGCGGTAAACTCGAAGGCTTTTAACACAAAAATTCGGGGTTTGGTTTCTGCCTTGCGCACATAGCACATTATAACTTTGAACTTAACAAACCGACTAAAGTCATCAGCTCCACATCATGATTGTCGTTTCTTTGACTCGAGTATAAATCAGTCAGTCAAGCCGAAATCCATGTTTAGTTAATTTTCTTTCATAACTTTTAAATTAGAATGAATTTCCGAAAATGCAATAACTTGGTTATATCACATATCCCAAAGTTGATTAAAATTGGTTACGAGTAGCCAGACCTTAAAGTGGTGATATTAAATTCTAAATAAAAATCAGTTCTTGGTCTAATTTTACCCTTTGAATAAGAAACAATAATAAATCAAAATTGAATTAATTTTTGTCTACAACTTTACTATATTTTCAAGGAATAGTGTTAAATCTACCATTTGGTCACAATGTTATAATTGCAAGAATTGTCTGTTGGCTATGCGTTGTTGAACGTGAGTCGTTCCATGAGAGCTGAGGAACAAACAATGAAACATATATACACATCAATTGTACAGTTTAACATGCAACCCTGATAACAGCGAAGTAGAATGCCCTATACATAGACTGCCTTACGCGTATTTTTTGTTGGTTCAGCAGACTCGTTCATCAGTTATTGTTCAGTATCGGTCGCGTTATGACATTAAACCTTGCAGAATCCTAATCAGAGTCTTTTTTTGTATCAGCACTTTATTTCAAGCTACTGGTTAGATGGACAGGTCAGCATGTCCAGTAATATCAGCTGACATGACTCTTTTATAGCTTTGCTGGCGTACAGAGAATTAACATCAACGGTTTCTCAGGGAGAAATAACTTTAGATCATTAATGATCCACTCCCACAACTGGATATTTAAAGGTGTATGCATGTGTGGTTATCTGCCAAATTTTATTCTAATTTTCTCTTTATCTTCTTTCAACGTTCTAGTTGGTTGCATTTCTAGAAATTCATTTTTATTTTATTTTACTCTAGGTGAACGGCTGATGCCGGCCATGCTCAAAAGGGCGTTTCCCACGGCTAGTGTTGACCAGTTTGGCTTGTTATCGCTGGCTTACCGAAGAATTCAGCGAGATTTCTGTGGAGACCAGGCTGACCAAGGCCAGTGGTGTGATATTCCGAACTTTGCGTGGTACACAGTGGGTGGACACAGCAGTCCTCGCTCTTTGAAGATAGTCCCCTCCTTTTCTAGTTCAGGTAATTCACAAGGTGACAGATCGGAACTAACACGTGAAGAGCGATATGTCGTACTTGTTTCGCTTCCACGACTTAATCGGAGGTCTTCATGTCCCCATCGACGACGGGATAGACAAATTAAACAGAAAGTACACGTCCATCGTCTTCCTCTTTCTCGCACTGCCTATCTTCACCAAGCAGTACATCGGAGAGCCTATCGAATGCTTTACTCCAACTTACTTCACCGATGCCCAGGCTCGCTACGTCAACAGTTACTGCTGGACAGCGTCCACTTACTACCTGGTCGCGGCCGATGACGAAGAGGACTTGGTTAATCCTCCTGTGCAGCCCCCCGATCCCCGAGTTATCCCAGAAGAGTTGGATTATAGCGGTTTTGACATGTTTTCAATACAGAAAGATAAGTTACGGCGAGTACACGTCAGTTACTACCAATGGTCACCATTAATTCTGATGGTACAAGGTGTGTGCTTTCATTTACCTTTCATCATGTGGAGTGCCTGTGCTCATAACGCTGGGGTGAAACTACGACGTCTCCTCAAGCGTGCTTCTGAAATCGCGGCCATCCCTCCTGGCTGCCAACAGCGGGAATCTTTGCTGGCGGAATTCGTGGAGCAGTTCCACACACTGGTGAACGGAAGTGCCGGCTGGTGCACGGACCCCTCGTGTCGATTGCCTCTTTTGGGGTGTCGCTATTCTCCTGGCCCGAGCCGTTACTTGTGCCTCTTGTACATACTTGTGAAATTCCTCTATGTCCTCAATGTGGGCTTACAGTTCTTGCTTCTCAGCTCCTTTATGGGGAAAGGATATATCCGGCATGGTTTCGAGATCTTCAGCCGCCTGATAGAAGATGGCAACTGGTGGGTTTCTCCACGTTTCCCATTACAGACTTTATGCCAGGTACGCGCAGCCATGCAAGGGGGCCTGAGGACTTACATATGCCGGTGTGTGTTGCCCATCAATGTGTTTAACGAGAAAATCTACTCCATCGTGTGGTTTTACTTAGCCATCATTCTTCCACTTAACACAATTAGCTTGCTATTGTGGGTATGGAGGACCTTTTCTTGCAATCGTCTGGCCTTCATCCGACTTTGTCTCTGGCGTTCTAGAATGATCAGTATGAGTAATGTAGCGCGTGCCTCCAAAAAGATCTCTTCAAGCTATTTAGGTTGGGATGGCACCTTCGTGCTACGTCTAGTGGAGCACAATCAAGGCAGTGCTATGGCAACTGTGGTCGTCGGCAAGCTTTGGGAATTTTACTCGAGCCAACTAAAGGCTCAAGACGAAGGTGGTGGAGATGTGGAGATGGCATCCATGCCTACAGCAATGCCATCAGCACCATCATCTTCATGGCATTCTTGTCATGCAGGGGCGTGCCATGGAGGACAATACAGCAACCAGACAATGCCGTCTACAAAACGAGCGGCCCCTGGCGGATACTGGGGTAAATGCTCATAACCAGAGTACAGACATATGCACTAATTTGTAGAAGTTTTGACTTTTTCGGGTTTTAGAACACCTAGATTCGAGTGTAGAATATAAACAAACGAGAAACCTAACAAAATTGCAACTGGAATCACTTGTAGAACCTCAGTGAGTAGAAACAAAATCTAACATTGATCTTATGCTGAAGTTCAGTATAGGGACAATCCCCAAATTGCTAATTGAATGACTGAACGAACAATGATTAGACAAACTTGAAAGTTTGTTTTATTAACAAATTCTCTACTACTCTCAGAGTGTATTATTCTATGTGAACATATTTTTATTAGATGGCTGATATTCTTTAATACAGCTACTAAATACAAAATTTTACAACAAATCAGAATCATTTTTGAGGTAGGGGCCCTTAGGATACTATAAAATTATTCACGACCTTTGCTTCCAATTCCAGACATTTTCTCATAAGAAATGCGTGGTTTTAGCTAAAAGTCCCTGGAGTAAACACTGATAACTTAAGATGTCCTTGATAATTTCAAGATAAATATTTTCTATCTGTGGAATCTTCTGATAAATTTCAAAAACAACTTTACATTCCTGTTTTACTTTTTTCCTAAAGAGGACACTTGTGGTGTCTAAATGTGTAGACAAATTAACTATGTAAGAAATACATATGTTGAAGAATATTGGAGGAAGTATAAAAAAGTGTGTGACACCAAAAATGCCTATTTAATTTTTTAAGGAAATATGAGCGTTATAGTTACTTTAAGTTCCAAGATCTAAGTTGTGTTAGAGGATTTATAAGCACTGAAATATTGGGAATATTGCAGATATTTTGTGAATTTTCTCAGCTTGTGTTTACTCAACATTTGAGGGAAAACATTTGTAATATCTATATATTAAGTTTTCGGTTAGTACAGTTATCTTTCCGAAATGTAACCAGTTTTTAAATGTTAACAAACACGTTCCAGCGTATCTTAGAAACACATTTAAATTAAAATGCATACGAAATACTCATGAATCAGCACGATGTCCGATTAAACCTTAAGTAGAGGTCACAGACTAATGTCATTATAACATTCGGTCATATCTGAGCTATAGCACAACTTTTATATTTATCCGTGTTTCATGTGTAGGGATGCGTTGTTTGCTTTTTGCACACCCAAGTATTAACCAGAACTCTGCAGTCACTTTAACTAAAACACTTTGAATAAAAACTTTGTGTTTAACCAACTTACTTGGGAAAGTACAGTTCATGATCGTCCCAATTTTGAATTCTGTCATGCAAATCGGTTGGTGAACAAAATGTTCAAGTAACTCGTAGGTTTAGTAATATACATAACATTGGTTTGGTTTGTATTTTTTACAATTCTCTGTACCATTTTGTGAGATTTATCTAAAAAATTATTCGAGTCAAAGAAATGAAAATCTCAGTCGTACTAAAAACATAAAGCTCCTTAGATTAACGAGAGGTGAACAATATTAGTCATTGGGACCTTGAAGGAAAACGCCTTATCACATTTCTGTATATTTTAAATTCAGAAAAATTAAATAAAATTAAGACATAAACATGCAAATATAAACCCTGTAACACTCACTAGATTGAAATCCACATGTAATGGACTAAACGGTCAGGATAAAAACCTGACGTGCGAACCAGGTAGATTATACGTTCTACGAGTAAGTCTAGTTTAAAATGTTTTTCAACAAATTCAAAAGCCTTACAAGTGTAACAGACAAACAATGCGTCGGAAATTATGTTCCCCCAAAGCATGTGGAGGAAATATATGTGCAATTATTTGTCTAGAATGTATAATAAGGGATGTCATAGTAACAGAATGTTAAGGATATTTCAAGACCACGTCGAGAAATGGAGTTCTTGGCCAACAAAATTCTAAGAAAGTTTAGAAGCTTGTTGCGGTTTATTCTTGGAAAATATGATTGTATTGTAGTTTTTATTTTATTTTTGTCAGGTCCATTTATAGCAAGTACTGTTGTTGTTTATATTTTTTTTGTTATGTATTGGTAATATGTACAGAAGGTGCGGCTCTGTGTTAAGAATGAGCCCAACAGGTATGGTATTTGTTTTTCGGAATATCCTTGGAAATAACATGAGTTTGTTTGTCATGAGTTTGACAAATTGGAGTAGGTTTCTACCAAACGTACATCCAGGAAACGTGATTCTTCATAAAGAACATGCCCAGTAAGTATGTTTTTTGTTTGTTTTTTTACACAGGGTTATCTCCAGAATACATGGTTCTTTGTAGAGAACATGCACATCAAGTGTGGGCTTTTACAAGATTTTCAGAAAATCTGGCTCTTTGTAAAGATCATGTCCAGCACGTATATGTTTTTATTAGTATTATGTCCAGAAAATGTATAAGTGTTATTTTTAGAAGAGTGTGCCCAGAAAATATTACTATTTCAGAGGAAATTGCACATTAAGTGTTGACTTTTACAAGGAGAATGCCCAGACGAAGTGTACTTTGTTGAGAACATATCCAACAAATATTTCAATTTGCCAAGAGTATGTCACGAAAATCCGACTATTTGTGAACAGATATCACATATAGGCTTTTACCAGGAGTATGCCCAAAAAACGTGGTTATTTTTTAAGAACATACTTACTAAGTATTAGATTTTACGAGGAAAATGTCGAGAAAGTGTAGGTCTTTATCAAGACCATACACTGTAATTGTGGAATTTTATTGGGAGAATGTCAAGGAAACGATTTTTCCCTAAGATCTGAAATATACTAGTCACTGCGGTTCTTTGTCAGCAACAGCAAATGTACAACAATATGTTTAGTGTATGCCCCCAAACTGTTTGTGTTTATTTCAAGTTAGCACAGAAACTGTTTTTTCTCCTTTGAAGTTTACCCAGAACTGTTGTGCTTGCTTGAAATTTGCAAAGCAACTGCTTATGCTCGCCAGAACTGTTTGCACTCGTCCAAGGTCTACCCAGAAATTGTTTGTACACGTCTGAAATGCGTTCGGCAATTGTTTGTACTCGTCTGAAGTATGCCCTGGATCTGCTCGTTCTAACCTGAAACGCACCCAGCAGCTGTTTGTATTCGTCTGAAGTATGCCTTGAATCTGCTTGCTCTAACCTGAAAGGCACCCAGCAACTATTTGTGCTCGTCTGAAGTGTGCCCAGAAACTGTTTGTGTTCGTCTGAATTGTGTCCAGAAACTGTTTGTGCTCGTCTGAAGTGTGCCCAGAAATTGCCTGTGTTCGTCTGACGTCTGCTCAGAATCTGTTTGTGCTAGTATGAAGTGTGCCCAGCGACTGTTTGTGCTTGTTTGAAGTGTACCTAGACAGAATAGGCTTTTGTTTAGAGTTTCCAGAAAGCAAAACGTTTGAGAATCTAATAACGTCGCAGTGTGACTTTATACATATCTTAAGAACAAAAATAAACAGATTCTTTTGTCGTCTAGAATTGGTCGGTTTTCAAACAATCACCTATCATCTTATATAACTGGATCATATATTCTACTCAAAGTTTCTAGTTAATCAAATTATGAGTGACTGTTCCATCTCTGTCTTATGTCACCGTAACATGTCGCCTTAATAGATAGTTATGAGGCAAAGAACAACAAATGGATAATAGGATACATATGCCTCAATGTGCTGGTGAATGTAAAGTTCAACAGAAAAATATTTACTATAAAACCAACCGATCTTTATTAGTAAGATATTGCTTATTTAGTATCAGCTGAGCTTTTATAGACCTTTTAAAAATTTGTTTATACGTATGTATTCACAACTGTGTTATGTGTTGTTAGAACACAAACGTAGATGGGAAGATTTGGGATATTTTTAAGTATTAAGATCAATTCCTAATATAAATGAAATATATTACAATAATTTACCTAAACTTTTACAAGTGAAAAACCTTCACAAACTGCGAAATTTGTGAATTCACGAGATGCGGTTGTGGAGGCAAGAAATGATTCCTGATTTTTAAAAAAAAGAGCTTTAAAAAAAGTTTTATGTTATAAAAATGAATCAAATAACACAATAAGCTATAAAATAAAATAATGTTGCTAAAATGGCTTGTGGTAACACAAATCGAGGTTCAAGACTATTGACTTAGACTTGAAATGTAATCTAATGTTTAAATATATACATTCAGTAACGTTATAAATAAGTCATTTTCTTTATTGGTAGATTTACGGGCCAACCACAGCCTTCAATAAAACAAATGCGCAATTGTCTAAGAAAAAATAATATTCAGTACATTTTTAGGCTGTCTTTCAGAAACTTCTAATTTATGGATACGTTTTTTATTTAATTAATTTGCAAAAGTCTTCGATTTCTTCTGTGTTTAAGGTGTAAGTCTGAATGTAGGAATATACGTTCGAGGTTTTTCTCGGCAGAGAGTTGATTAACCTATTGCTGTACACTGCCATCTAACTAGAAGATTGTAAATAATATATTGATGCTTCTATAGTGCTTTAAAGTTTTATTTGTGTTAGTCAAACAAATCCCTCCTTTTAACTTCTTAAAAATCAACTATTGCAATTGTATTCGACTAAATAAAAAAACTCGGCATGACTGAAAGAGAAATGTATATCTACTCTTATAAAACAAGGATTCTTACCCTCCTTTAGCCCAGTTTCTCTAAAGCCGAGAAACCTTTCTCAAAAATAAATCGTCAGAAGTGCGTTTTTTATTCGATTCAAAAATTGTTTAGAAAGTGTTTTTCTCATTCATAGCCATTCTAGCTTTAATAACTTAACAAAAACTCTAAATTTTTCACAAAGTTTTTTAATGTAATTGTTGAAATTAGCTGTCTGACGTTTGTAGTCTTTAGAACAATTATAAAAAAATTTCCTCGTGCTAGTTACAAATTTTCTGATCTCATTTTTATGTACTTATGCATTCCAATTAAAGTATTAAGAAATTATTAATATAACATTTTTGAACTTCTAAAACTTTAACAAATTTAAAACTTAAATATCGTTCTTCTTGAGTGAATGTTTATCTGTTGCATGATTTCACTCAAATTTTTCGAAATATATTTTTCGAAAATTTTGCGTCAAAAGAATGTTTCTTTACTTCCAAATCGTTAAAAGTTTCAATAAAAAATACATTTAATTTAAAACATTACTTTTTCCCAGTTTCTGCTATATAAGAATAAAAAATCTAGGATCTTTTATAGGCGTCGGAAGCAAAATATGCGCGTGTAATGTTGTTGTTGCTTTGGGGAGGGGGGACAAAAATGGAAGTGAATCAAGCTTGTCATAAATGCGCCTGCCGAAGGAAAAAGAAACTCGGGTGAGAGGTGGGAGTCATACTCTACTGGAAAATTTTTTTAATTAGAATAGAAATTTGGGCTTATTTTGATACAATGGGGGCGAAAATATGATGGAAATTGAAGGAAAAGAACTATTAAAATTAATGGGAAAATGAAAGGTTTAATGACCAACCTACATGACCTTCTACTTATATTATTCTCTTCATCTTATGTTTTCAGCTCTTCATTTTTAGTTGAAAAATTCATTTTAGAATCTTTATTGACTTATAGTGAGTCCTTATTGTTCTGGGCCAAAAACTCAATTCAACTTGGGGAAATCGTAAACATGCCGAAATTTATGGTAAGGCCAAAATAGGAGCGGCCACTTCTCTCTTTATTTGAAATTAACCTTCTGCTCCGACACCCATGGCTTTTTTTCTATGACATATCACATACGTTGACTACTGTTGAAAGTATGATAAACGTTTTCGCTGAAACTAACAACTACTTGAGACTCTATATTAACAGTATAGTCAAATTTGATCTAGTCTAGTTTACGCTTAAAGCCGTATATGTATGATATAAATATTATATTCGAGATTTTTTGCATGTTTATCGATTTTATGTTTTTCATCAGGCAGAATAATAGTTCACAACTTTTCAAATGGCTACAGATATATTAAAAATTCTTATACCTTATTGACTGGTAAATATACAAAGCTCTTAGGAAAATTTCATGTTTAGTTTTGGACAAAACAAGTAGTCAAACCCAAAACAAGAAGTTTGTGAAACTCTCTAAGAATAAGATTGTAGAGAACTAATTGTAAGTGTTTAAGCAGGTGAAAGGAACAAACCTAGGTTTCTCTAGACTGATTTATTGTTACGTTTCAACCATAAATATATGTACACGAGAATTCTGCTTCACTTTACGAGGTTATTTAGGGTTTTGTGAAATAGAGTTTTCAACTTGTAGCTATGAGTAAACGAACTAAAACTCAACTATTATTCTCGTAGATAAACAACTAGTTTATTCGACAAAATAATCATAGTTCTGAAAATACTTGGTTGTTGAAAAAATGATTTAGAAGTTGAATTATCGTTTTCTTCGTAATTTTTGGGGAACTAAAGTAACTAAGCATTTAAGCTGCCAGACATTAAAATATATAAAAGAAGTTGATTTATATCATATATTGATTTAGTGTAGTCTGATAAAAATGGTTTATGATCAATCTAAAATAGATTATATGCTAATATAACCAGCTTTGTAATCATAATAAAATATGTAATTGTTCATTGAACTAATTCCACTTTCCATATTGTGTTAGGATATCTGATAGTATTGCATTGCTTTGTTTACTTATGTCAAAGAACGTATGTATTAATAGTTTCATGTGAATGTTTGTATAAAGCAGCAAAGTTTTGGACTCTAATAATGTTTATTATTAACACATCAATTTTCATGATGTGATTAATTAACAGAAGGGATTAGGTTGATTATCTGTGTAATATTCAATATTTATGATTTTTTTTAAAGATCCTGACGTTTACTCGTTCAGATTTAGCGGTTTAGGGTTCAAGCAGTACGTAACGCTTTTTGCAAACGCCCACAAGTGTAATTCCTTCACCAAACAATATTACTCAGACTAGAACAGACCGATCAAAATATAGTAAATATATATTACAACGTTCTTTGTCTACACCTTAACGTACATTATACTCCTTCATTAATCATTCATTAACAAAATGTCGCCCATAAGTTGTAGAAAAAATATCAGCATCCTTTTTTATTTTGATACGGATGTTATTCTAAAATTTAAATAAACATTCATAACTTTTCTTCAGATCTTTTTACGTAATTATGTTAAGCAAACCGTTCGACAAATAAAGCATCTGGCCTTTGGAATACTCACTGTTATAAGACAACAGCTGATATAAAACCTACATCAGCCAGCTACAATGTTTTTTTTTCGTGCACGTTTTCGACTCATGTGCCCTTTTCCGAAGGATGGCGAACTATATCAAACAAGCTTGTCTACTACAGGAATTATTGAAGTACATTTAACACATAATTCTTTATTAACAGTCAAATGAATCATGACTTCTCCAAAACTTTATTTGTGATTTGAAACCTCGTGAATCGCAATTACCATTGAATTTACTCAATGACGATATGAAAAGTGTTTTTATAGAGGTGCTAAGTTCTATGCAAAAACACTGTCACGCATACACTGTTTTAGAGTTCTAAATACTCGTTAATACTGTGGACATTTTCATCTAGTTATGAAGTACCAATTGAATCCACTCTGAAACGGCCTTAATCTTTTAGCCAATCTTCAAACTAAGGGGAAATACTTGGTAGAGGGACCATTCTTACGTATATTTACAAATGCTGTAATACCTTATGCAAACCCGCGGCTAAACTCTCTAATTTTTCTCCTCTTGTAGCTTTAGTTTTAGTGTAGCTCTTCTTAACCTTTAATACGAGCCTCAGTGTTTATCAAAATGCTATTTATTAAGGACGGTTTTCTTATCCTGGAAAGCACGTTGTATACTTTACCTGTTGCAGAATGTATTCATAACTTACATACATAATTTAATAAAGAATCCATTTGCTTTATCAAATGTTTGTTTCTTTCGTATTTTTTTTACTATTTTATGACAAACATTAGCACTATTCTTTTTTTAATGTTATTCAGTAAAACTATGAAGACATATTTCTATACTATTCATGTTGATATGTATAACGAGACCAAATTATGTTATAGCTGGATTACATGAAACTTTATGGACAAATCCAAAACTTCTTTATAATGTACGGAGCTTTCAGGACCACTCCGAACACTGGTTATGCTTAAATAATATTTTTAGATCGTAATCTAAATAACATGAACGAACATAAATGCTTTTTCAGTGAAATAGTGACACCAAAGAAATGTCTAAAGATTATTTGTTAACTTTAAACATACAGATCTTAAATACAAGAAATGATTTTGTCAATTTAAAATGTCATTGTGGTAAATCATCATATTTCGTCTTATATCTAATCATATTAAACTACACGATGGTAAGATGTAATGGATTTGGTACTAAATAAACCGTATTTGATGTCATTCAGTGTTAGGAATTGTGTGAAAAAAGTTTGATAACTTAACATACAGTTGTATTATTAATCCTGGAAATAAATAATTCAACTTACCTCTAATTATCCACTAAAAACATGTGAAATAGAACAGTAGGACTTAAATATATAATGGGAGTATGAGGATACAGAGGCGCCCAGATTTTTTTAAAATAATCATGCTTACGAAAACTAAGATAAAGATTAAGGTATATATATATATTATTTTCTAGTGGATCTTTAGGCATATCTTGACACCAAAGACTCGATTGCAATCCAACACTGCTATTATAATTCTGTATTAGTAGCTATGAGAAATGATACTTAATTTGTCCCATTTTTTTTAGGCCAAAAAATGATAAGAGTTGAAATTAATATCTGATAATATTCCAACTTTGTCTGATGCTAGAAGTCTTCCTTTATAGGAACGAAATTCAGTAAACATCCTGATATAATTTACACTGTCTTCTAATTTCATCTACTGGAGCTTCGTTTTCTGTGGTCACACGATATGTTTCTGTTTAATTAAAGACATCAATTTGAAATTAGAAAATTACTAGATAGCACTACATTAAAAACGGATTTACGCTTGAATCACGCCTGCCTGAATATAATAAGTGACGCAATTAATTTCAGTATGAAGTAAAATTCCTTTTGTGAAGAAACTAAAAAAATGGCAATTCATAATGGTTTGTGACCCCGACTCTATTTATTCACACATACACACACATTAAAACACAAAGTATATATTTCACTTTCTTCGATGAAAAGGTATAACCATAGAATTAAAAAACAAAGCTTCTTCTTTTTTGCAGTCTTTTATTGAAACAAAAAATACCATAAAGATTTTCTAGCCTTCTCGGAGACGAACTATGTTGTCCATGAGCGAAGAAAACAAAACATCTTAGTTTCCAGCTGAACTTCTGTGTTAAGAAGGAAAAATGAAGTTGAATAACAACTATGTTTATAGTCGGTTTCGGTTTTGTTTTTTACAGAGGAAACAAGTTATTACAAGCTCAAACCGCGTGATCTAAGCCTAGTTGGTTGTCAAGTCTTTAATTTCTGAAAGTTAGAGAACTTATGTGCACGAGTTTAATATTGTGTTTCTTTACTGACAGGACATTTTGAAGTTTGTTGTTATCTTCCTATTATAATTATCCTTTTCTCAAAGGTTGATATACGAGATAGTTTTTCGATAATTTTATCAAAAGATTTGGTTTTGAAGATAAAATAAAAAGTTTTAGAAGTATATTAAAATCACACAAGCCATTGATTTTGTTTTATGTTTTATACAAATAAATACATCTGTCTGTCTATTTCTCTATCTTTCTAAATTCCAAAATGTGTCCAGTCGATTCTTCAAAATACTTTAACTCCTTCCGAGTCTACGGAATCTCTTTTCTATAACATGCAAAATTTTGTTCGAAGAGAACAGAGAATTAACTATAGATACCAAAAGAAGAACAAAAACAACGCTGTATTTTATAAGCAACGCTTTTCTGTGGGACATCAAGA